GTTCATGGCGAAGAAGCTAGATTTTGTTTATTTTAGGCTTGGAAATGTATTCTATATGCAAAATTGTGTGGAAATTGCATGTAGAATTAATTTTAGAAAGGTTGGAAATCAAGCTCTAAAGTTAGAAGTTGATATAGTTTGAAAAAAACAAAGTATTGATGTTGTTGGTTACCATGCCTCTATTGAATAAATAGTCAATGATGTGTTGATGCATTTAGGGCCATGAGACATCAAGGAAGAGGAATAGCAAAGGTTGAACAAATTACCTCATGGTTAGTATCAAAAGGAAGCCAAAGACGACAAGAGGAAACTTAAAGGTTATAAGGTAGTGACTTACCCTCTTGAATGATTGACATGTATGCCTGTGTGTTGATGATGATTTGAAAGCATGATTGCTTAAATGTTGCTCTATGTTTTGTTTAATTCCTGGCCATGCATGTATCCAATATTCAGCATATGAATATTATTTTTAAAGCAAGAAAGTATATGAAACCAAACATGTCATACACTTGCATTTGTTTTGCATGCATTTAGGTAATGTTTACAACTAAGATTCTCCTGAATCCCATCCTCCCTTAACCATCCATAATAGATGCAAAGAGTATAGGAGAAAAAAACCAAGAAGTAAAAGTGCAAGAATGAAGAGAAGAAGATAAAAATAAATTTTACGTTATATTATGTAATATGTTATGATAATATATTCACAAATGTGTTGTGGATGGGATGCATTAATGCATGATGATACTAGCATGTATCATGAATTGTATTAATGTATAAGAATATTTTATGCAATGATAGATTGGAATTATTTATGTATAGAATTTATTATGAATTGTTATTGCAAGTTAAACGGATAAGGTACCAATAAATGAGCAGTTAACTTGAGACAGAGCAAGTCCTAAGCAAATAAAAGAGTTTGTTTATGAAATTTGGTGAATAACTAGTACACATCTAGATCTTTAAAACAAGTGATAGATCACTTGAATTGGATATGCATACTAGAAGATACGGTTGATCAAAGTTAGCCTAGAATTTTGGAAATTGGCAAATTAATCAAATGAATAGTAAATTTTACGTATTGAACTGTACAAATTGGGCAAAGAATTGAGCCAATGATTTTTTTTTCCTTGTAGAGAATTAAAAGAGCTTTAAATATAAATTTGAACTACCTCAATATAATTTTTTTAGAATTAGTTATGATTTTTTAAACTTACATCTAAAATCTGGAATTTCAAGTGAATAGTGACTTGAGAATTTTAACTGAAAATTTTTAATCTACAAGCTTACAACGCAATTCACTAGAATTTTAATACTTCTAAATACATACTCTAAGGGGTTAAAGGATGGACGTTACACTAATTTGCACCCAAGATCCCAAGGCAATTAGATTAACTAACAATAATCATTGAAAATTAAACAAAGCCAGGGATTATGAAAGATACCAATAAATTAATTAGAACAAACATTAGCATTATCCAATCCGAGTGCAAAATACTCAATCATAAAGATAAACTTATCAGTCAAGGCAGTGTAACATGAATTAAAATCCTAAATTTAGAGATCCTAACACACATAGCTACAAAGATTGAATAAACAAACTCACCCTTGCAATTCATCAAGCTCAAGCCATGATTCCCATTACTAAAGAGCACCAAGTTCAACCACACATAGCTCCAAGCTTGTTTCGATCAGTTTCAACACTCTTGACAGCCATGAGAGATGAATTGGGTATGGAAAGGTGATATGGAGGATGTGCCATGAGGTTTGATTGGTTCAAAAGTGGAAAAATGATGTAAATAGAATGAAAATTAATGGACTTTGGTGGAAAAAATGAATGGGACTTAGGAAAATATAAAGAGACTTTTATTATAGTGGTTAGCTACTTCTCTTCCCATGAGCTGATATCTCATATTAGGTTATCTCCCCCAATCAGTAATCAGAACTGTGCGTTTTATTAATTTGAAGATGTTGTCGCGCCTCAAAATAGCATCGCTACAAACTCAGAATAGTGTGGCAGTGGCACCAAAACTAGCATGGTGTTTTTGTGTTCTCAAGTCCTTATATCTCATTTCCTAAATTATCGTCCTTCCTAGTAATTCTTCTCACTCCTTAGTTATCTTTTCTAGGGATATTTGGATTATTTTCCAATTCTCTCAAATTCCTCCAAGTTAGCTATAATGAAATTCCAATATTTTGTAATATTTTTTGTCTTAAAAGCAATGCACTTAGAACTTAGACAGATAATGACCAAAATACCCTTAAAAAAGTGTAACTTAATGCAATTAGACGATTACAAAATAAATGATAAAATGATGCAAAATGAGTGCAGATAAGCAACAATAGACCTGAATAGGACCAAAATAATCAAGCAATAAAATGGTCAAATCAAGCTCTAATAGACTAGGCTCAACCTTTTGTAATTCCTCAGGTTAAAAGGTTAGTGAGCTAAAGACAAAATACTTTTTCTCCAAGAATATTAGTACTCAAGATGCAAGATCAATATGTGAGAAACTGAGATTTCAGAAAACAAATAATTTAGCTCGTTACTCAGGTGTTCCCCTCATACATAGTAGAGTTACCAAGGAAACTTATCACCATTTGGTTGAATGAATTCAGAAAAACCTCTTTAGATGGAAAGCCTACTCCTTCTCTCTTATAGATTGGATGACCTTGAGTTAGTCTACGTTATCTTCTATTCCTTTATATGCCGTGTAATAATCTAAGAAACCAGCCCCACTGGTATAAATTAAAGTCTCTCATTTGTAATTTTATTTGGGCATTACTAAGACACATAAAAATGTTCATTTAGTGAAATGGAATGATGTTTGTCAGCCTAAAGAATGACGAAGGTATGGCATAAAAAATCTAGAGGGTCAAAATGTGACTTTCCTAATGAAATTGGTGAATGGTATCATGACACAACGAGATACTTTTGGGTTCAAGTCCTTAGAGCAAAATATGGATGGAAGCAAGGTAAGCTACCTTCTAATAAAAGCCGTAATGCATTTTATTTATGAAAAGATCTTAATCATTTTTAGAATGACATGAGTCTAAGAATGAAATGGAGCAGGGGAAATGGTTAAGAAATAAGATTTTGGCTCTGATTATTGCGTTGGCAATGTCAAACCCTTTGTAATATATAGCCTTCAAACCTCTTAGTGAGAACAAACTATAGCAAAAATTAAGTTGCTTTATTACTGAGGATGTGATTGGGATTAGAACTAATTTAGAAAGCATCTGCCACAAAACACTCGGGAGCATATTGCAAAAATCAAACCCCTTTCCCCAACTGATTTGCCTGTATCTCAATTGTGAAGCCATTTTGATAAAGAAGAATTTGGTCTGCATTTTGTGTACGACTTTGTAATGGAAGAGGACTGGGATGATAAAAACCTAAAGTGGAAACTTGCATGGCAATCACCAGGAGCACAGAGAGTCAAAACCTTTCTACTGATTGTCTTGCATAATAAGCTGCTAACTAATATTGAAAGCCTAAAGAGAGTTATGACTTCTAGTAGCCAATGTGTTTAGAGTTATAACTATGTAATGGTGCTGAAGAGGATATTGACCATGTGTTTAGATCCTATAAGCTTGCTGCTACTTGCCGGAATCTAATTATTCCTTCAAAGAAACAACGCTCATTCTACCAAAGGCCTTTTAAGACATGGTTGCAAGATAAACTTAAGGCAAGTAGCCAGAATCACGCTGTTCAACTAGGAAAGGATACTGGCTCGCCACCTTGTTAATGACATGCCTGCAATTAGTGATTATACTATTAAAGCATGTGAGCTAAGGAAAGCTATTAAACTAAGCGTGTGTTTGGTTAGAGGGGAGGATAGGGGAGAGGAGAAAAAATAAGCTCCGCCTTTCATTTGGTTAGAGTTTTAGAGAAGGGAGAGATTTGGGCTCCCTTTACAAACATATAAGGGTAAAATGGTAAATGAATTATTACTATTCATCTCATTCCTCTCTTGAACCAAACAAAAGATTTTTAAAATATCTATTGCTCTCCTCTTCTCTAATTAAACCAAATAAGATAATATTAAAATCTTTTCTACCTCCTCCTACCTTACCCTTCTCTTCCTTTCCTATTGTTTTTTCAAACCAAACAGGCCATGAGCTGAAGGTTTGCTTCTTCTTTTTCTTTGGTTTGTTGTAACTTGCCTTGTCCCCTCTCGTAAATATTTTGCATTAAAAGTTTCTTTCCACTGAAAAAAAGGAAAAATCCCAAAAAAAGTCCTTGGAATATAGAAAATGCCAGATTGGGTTCTTAAATTTCGAAAATGACAGAATAGGTCATTGACCCAATCTGTCATTTGTGAAATTCATGTGAATTGACAATTTTGCTCTCATTTATTCATTCACTACAATGATTCAAGGAATCACTATAAGAGTTTAGGTGTTACCTAGATTCGTGTAGCGAATAACTACTCACTTTTTCATAGTCAGGTGTCTTGTTATTAAATACAACTAATTCTGTAATCACTAGAACAATGTAAGTATTATCTAGATTTGTGTAGAGAATAACTACTCATTTTTTCATAGTCAGGTATCTTATTATTGTCAGGTACCTTATTGTTAACTACAACGAATCTTGTAATCACTAGAACAGTGTAAGCGTTACCTAGATTTGTTCAGAGAATAACTACTCACTTTTGCTCAAGGGCAAAAATGTTAATTCGCCTGAATTTCACAAATGACAAATTGGGTCAATGACCCATTCTGTCATTTTCGAAATTTAAGGACCCAATCTGAAATTTGGTATATTCCAAGGGCTTTTTCTGGGATTTTCCCTAAAAAAAATGATGTTTTTAAATTTCTTTTTAAGACTCTTATCCATATACTTATCTGGAATTTTTTCCATCCTTATCGTCTATGTGACAACACACTTACAAACCGTCAAAATCTACGAGACACCACTATCAATCAGCTCAAAGATACAAAAGCCCTCTTTTCAAAAAAAAAAAAAAAAAATTAAGGTTAATTCTTAAAGCAAGGCATCTGAGCAAGCAATCAGATTTCTGCTTCTAAACTGAGTGCGGAATTTTCAAGCATGATGGTCAACTAGTCACAAAGCAGAATCACGAAACAAAGTGAGCTGGAGAACATGGAGAATCGCCGACCTTGGAATCGAAACGCTCCTCCTTCTCCGTCTAACTCTGCATCTTTCTCCAGATCACAGCGTCAAAACCGCAAATCTAGGAACTACTCTGAAAGGAGAACTCCGTCCGCAGCTTCTGCCTCAAATTCGGCTGTTGACTGGGACTTGAATTCGGGGAAGCTTTCTGGAGATGAGAATGTGGATGTTGAAGGGCCATCCTATTCCGGATCGCTTGTTGGAACTTGTCCGTATATGTGCCCTGGTAAACTCTACGAAATTGAACTTCTTGGTTGGGCTGCTTTTAAAATTGTCGTTTTTAGTAGCTAGTAGTACTGAATTTTGTCACAGAAGGGCATTTACATGCATATTCCATTTTATTCAAATTAATTACAAGATGGGGTTGCAGGATGCCTAAAGAAGAAAGGTAAAGACAGTTAATAAGATTGCATTTGGCTTGTAACGGAATTTTCTTTGGTAAGAGTAATAATAAATAGATTAAAGAGGAGCATGGAATCCAAATTACGATGACATTGGGTTTAAATAAATATGGTGACGCCCCCCTGTTGTGTGAATTTAAAGGTTCTCAGTTCTTTGTGCTCGTTAAGGCATTACCTTTACATGGTTGAACTACAGCATATTTTGAACTTCCCATAATGAACTAGCTGTCTCTTTATGCGCATAAGGTTTTATTGTATTCTAATTAGCTATTAAGGACTCATCCTGCACCCTTTGAGAACCGTAATGTGTCTTAAAAGAGATGGTCCTTGGGTACAACCTCATCAGTTTATAGCAACGCAGATGAAGTGCCTTTTTTAATACAATAACAAGTGTATGAAGGGCCGAAAATTGAAATTCCCCACAAACCGATTATTGGCATTTAATGGTTTGGAGTTTTTTCTTTCCTCCAAGCTTTGTTTATCCGGAAATCTTTATATGCTAAGGTTTTCACTGTAACAGAAAGAGAGAGACTCCAGCGTGAGCAACTACGGGATTTAGCTGTCTTTGAGAGGCTCAATGGTAATCATGGAAAATCATCTCCTGACCTTGCAGTAAAGAAGGTAAGACCAGCTGTATAATCCTAATATCCTACTTTTACCTGATTTTACCACCTTGATTACGCTTATACTTTTGAAGGGTAATACTCAAGAGCACTATGCTGAATAAAGTTCTGAAATACTAGAGCTTTATGAAGAAAATCAATGTTGCTTATTTTCTCATTTCTACCAGTTTTTGATGATACTAATGGGAAGTTAAAACTATAGTATACTAACAGGCTTTATCGAATTATCAAATTTTAGTGACTGAATGTGTTGGAGCTATGCCTTCAAAGTTCAATGTATAGCAAAAACTTAATGATCTCTATTTTAAGTTATTTTTGTTGCTAATTTTATTTTGTAAGAACTTCCATTTTGTATAAAAAAATTAGTTTGTTGCATTTTATTACTAAACAAGAAAGTCTAATAATAGATAAAAATAATAACAATATTAACAAGAGGAAGAGATGAAAGACTACTAGTGAAAGGTTGAGAATGAAATGTACTTCTAAAATGGTGTTATAAATAAAGGGAAAACTATTTTGGAGGTGCCTATACTTTTTTTCAATTTTCAATTGGCTACCCATGTGTTTTTTTGTCTTAATTAAATCTTTGATTTTGCTCTATTAACATTGTTAACCCTTGCATAGAGATTAAAAATACTAATAGAACAAAGTTGCAAGAGCTAATATTGCTAAAAAAGTAAAATTAAATTATTTAATTAAGAGGAAAAACATATATAGGTACCAATTAAAATTTGAGAAAAAGTATAGGTACATCCAATATGATTTTCCCATAAATAAACAAGAAACAACAAACGGCAATAATAAGCCTTATCCTACTAGATGGGGTCAACTGCATGGCCATGGTGTTCTACCAACAAACAAGCCTAGACAGATTTTTTATTTCAAATATCAAGTAGGCTCTCCGTTCATATAGAATTTGTTTCAGAGGAATTTCTATAAATCCACCATTACTACCACCCTTAATAGTCCCAGCTACAATTTTTATTTGTTTTTGGCCAGTTGAAGTGCAAGGGGTAGAAGAGTTAAAAAGAAAAAGAAAAAGTGATAGTCTTTCATTAAAAACAATGCCAGATCATTGCAAAACTCATGAAACCCAGACAATTTTGTTAGTGAACCCCAAGGTTTGCTGAGAAGACGTGAAATGACTTATCTAGATGCTTAAATTTATTGCTAAGGCAAATAATACTGAATTGAAGACTGCAAGCAGATGCTATATATATGTGGAGATACTGTTGATTTCCATTTGTAGCATGCAAAGGTAGTTGTGGAAATCCTGTTTTTCATTATCCACCAATTGAAATCTTATGTATAACATGCGAATATAGTGTACTCCTGAAACTTCTTTTCGTTGTTACTTTCATGGTCAATGCTTAATAGTCACAACCTAGGTGCGTTATCATATGAAGTTTTGGGGTTAATATCATTGTTCGTCCTTACGATTTGATCAAATTTTGGTTTTGGTCCCTATTATTTCAAATTGTAGTTTTTGATCCTGTAGTTTCATAAGAACTTGATCTGAGTTAATGTTGTTAAATATAGTAACCAAGGCCAAAACTTCTTAAAAGTACAGTGACCAAAACCAAAACTTGTCTGATCCTTGTACTTTTAACACATTTTGGTTTTGGTCCTTATATTTAATGGCGTTAAATAAAAGTAAATGACATTAAACTTAAACCAAGTCCTTATGAAACTATAGGGACGAAAAAAAGTATTAACCATATAGTTTTTTTTTTGGCGTTTATGTGAAAGATTTTTGGTACGATTCATTATAATCTAAGTTCCATTCTTGGAAAATGTACTCTCTACATAAATGTAATTGTTCCTCTTTGTTAGTCAATATCTATCAGTTTCGCAACTTTTTATGATCCATTTCACCTATTAGTTTTGCAGAACCATATCCACGAAAAGTATGCAACCATCTGATGTACGGCCACTCCCTGTATTGGAAGACACTTTAAATTACCTCCTGAACTTGTTAGATTCTAACAAGCATCCATTTGAAGTGGTTCACGACTTTGTATTTGATAGGACAAGGTCGGTAAGACAAGATCTTACTATACAAAGTGTTGTCAATGAGAGAGTTATCAGCATGTATGAGAAAATGGTATGGTTTATCTTTAGAATATCTTTAACGCATACCACGTATCTTTTCATTACCTCTGACATTAATTTCATACTACAAATTATCAATTTTCTCATTATTATCTGACTTTAGCAACATCAGTTGCTTTTGTATTCAAAATTTTATTGACCTTAGGTTTACCTAATATTATCATCATTGTGAAGAATTTTGCCTAATTGCGCCAGCTCTCCAATTATTATTTGTTTGAGAGTTGAAATGGGAATGAAATCAATGGAAATAAAAAAAATCAGAAGTTAAGTGAGATATAGGTAACCTTCCAAGTGGACATTGGAGTTAATCTATTTGAAATGGCTGTCGATTTGGCACGCTACATTCTGCTTGTCTGAAAGCAGTATTGGACTACATGTTGGCATTATAATTTAATAGTTTATTTTGAGGCATTATTCTCATCAAAACCTGGACTGACATGTTTGTGATTTGGAAATGATGTATGTGTTGTTTCGAAGCTTTTTCAGGCCAATTCAGATCATTTGTTGAATAAAATATGTAACTATGCAGGTGAAGTTTCATGTCATATCACATTACAAACTCCGTTCTTCTATGAGCAATCCCATTATTGCATCAATGCACCATCTCAACATGGAACAGCTCACAAAGACATTGACATCTCTATTCAGTTTGTATGACACAAATCAAAGTTCAAATAATTTATCTGAAAATGAAGCTGAGTTCCGTTCATTATATGTGCTTCTTCATCTTGGTTCTTACAGCAAACCAACGGTTAATCTCTATATCATTGGTGTGGTGAATTTTTTTCCTTACATTCTTAATTGCAGCCTTCTATTGTATCCTAAGTTGTAAAATTTAGCTATTTCTGATCCATAGGAGGATTTGCTTTCTCTTTGGTTTGGCCATCTCTCTACTTCAGTATTGAAGTCAAAAGAAATGTGCTTTGCTAGGAGTATTTTGCGGTATTTCTCCATGCCATCCATTGATTTTAAGAATTACTATTTAAATGTCTGTTTTGCTGTTTCCTTCCTCATATTTAACAGGAACTGCATGCCTGTTAATTGAAGCATACCATCATTTCTCTTACAGATCTTTTCGTTTGGGAAACTATAAGCATTTCCTGTGTACCACTGCAGCGCAAGTGTCATATCTGCAGTACTGCGTTGTGGAGGCTTATATTAATGAAGTAATTCCTGCACCTAGGCTGTTATAACTTCCTTAGTATCCTGTCACAACTGTGTTTGATTGTTTCCTTGCCTCCATGTTTTATGCTTATTGTATTTCTTGGTAAGTAGTTTCTGTAATCTGAAATTTTAGTGTCCTTGCCCTGCCCTTGGAATACAGGATTTTCTATGGCAATCGTCCCCCTTCTCATACCCTGGAAAGCAATTCATTGGCAGCAGCTAAAATAGGCATGGTCAACAGAACTAAGATAAGAAGACAGGCATAGTAATTTAATTTGGGGGCCCAATGAAGTTTTCAGTTTATCTACCAAAAACACACTCCTCTGGGTCTTCCTATTTCTCATATGAAGTGTTGTAAGCCCTGAAATTCACCTATTGCAGATTTGAACATCTCAACTGGTTCAAACTTGAGACGTCTCTTGGCAATACTATGATTTACCAACAAATCATCAGTCCATGGGCTAAGTTACTATACCCATTGAATTGCAATGAATTAATTATCATATATGTTCTTTCTGTGAATACAAACCACATGTAGTGGCCCAGGATAAAAGGCTGCTCTTAGAGAAACTCTATTGTGCCGGAGATCTTTCTCAAACATAAATACTCTCACGTTCCTGCTATATCCTTTGGAAAGCTGACCCTGAATATATCGTCCTTGGGTTGCTGGGTAGTTTAATCCTTTTTTCTTAGTCACAGTTACCTGGATCTCCTCCCAACTTTAGGATGAAAGGAAAGTTTTTGTTGTTTTTTTGGGCCCCCCTCCCCCCAGGGGGTTACTACGTTTTTCTTTTTGATAAAGTGGAACCTTGACAGGGATTCAGGGAGAGAAGGAGAATATGATGGGTTCATTACTGGCATATCCGGAAAATTTTCCTGCTTCTCTGTTCCAGATGACGTCTTTGCTCAGAAATAACTTACGTCTGCCGATCATAAGCATTATATCTGTTTTCCCACCAATATCTTAACCAGGAGTTTTTTTTTTTTTTTTTTTGGGGGGTGGTTATTGAACTTTCTTAGCTAGCTTTTCTTATCCATGCTTGTGATTTATCTTTACTATTAAACTATATTGTGATTATGATAGGGGTTTTATTTGTGCATACATATATATTATGCAAAAGGTTCGTGCGCTGGCATTGGCATGTATAAATTTTGGTGGTTACAAACTTCATCCATATCCTCTGCTCGACCTTTCGATCCTCTTGAGGGTGAAGGTATGGATTTTGTTGACTGCAATAGACTGAGATTCTTACAACTACAGACACTTTCACGCTTATACTGGGACAGTGACAATCAATAACTTCCACGCAGAACTTGTTAATTTTTAGGATATAAATAACTCGCCAGAATATGTTGTTCACCATAATAAATATGAAATTATGATTGTAGATTTTGAGTATTTGGAGTTCAATTATCGAACTTTATATGAATTGGATATCCATGATTTCTTAATCACCCTTCACTTTTGCCAGATAAACAGTCACCCCATCCCCCTTCAAAGTAGCTAATAACAGAGATTGAGATCCTAATGCACTATATATTTAGGAGAGTGACCTAATGGTGCTGAAATGTACATGGAATCCACTTTTTCTCTTTCTGCCCACTCCTTATTGGATATAAAAGATCCAAAACCCAATGTTCACAAAATCAAGGGGGATTGTTTGTAGGTTGATGGGATTTCTCAGGCAACATCCAAAATTAAAGGATGTTTTCTTATAACTCAATGTTACATCATGAATTTCTCTTTCGAAAAAAAGTTGCTTCACACATTTCTAGAGTTATGTTGATCTTTAGGAATGTTTTCATGACTGATGTCTGGTTAACTTTGACAGGAATCTGATTTGGAATCCCTCTGCAATGCCTGTGGTCTTGAAACTCGTACAGATGAATCCGGAAATAAGGTACTCCCCACAAAGCAAAGCACCTTTTGTCATCCAAACGGTGAGTTCCAGAGATACGCCTTTTTGGGTTTGGAAGAATTCGAAAGGTAGTTTGAGCGATATTGCTGAACACTGCTAGTATGCTTTGGATGATTGGAACAAGCAAGCTTGATGAATTGATTGACTTGATTATAATCTAGTGACGGATGGTTACGGATGGTTATGACATCATTTTATGTAATTATGATATTAATTGTTGAGGACAAACAGACGTGAAGGTACGTGAAATCCGAGTCGATCGGAACTGTGTGCTCTGTTGACTATATTCATCGTGGATTCATGTCGAGAATTTAGGTGGGGAAGCGAGCAAACCTGTGGTATTTGCTGGTATGTTTTACAAGTATCGTGGGAGAGAAGCTTGGGTGTTGATTGCATTCACAGCTTTTGGTACACAAACTTGTGTTTGTTAATGTAAAAACATTTTGGTTGGAAAAAAATTGATAAAAGGATAAATACGTCATAATGATGTAAAATAAGAAGAGGAAAAGGGGAAGGAAACAGATAAGAAAGAGCGGAGCAGGGGAAATAGAGAAAGAAGAGGAAACGAGCTTAGAGGAAATGATAACTTTAATATCATTTAATAATCAAGCATGCCGTCTAATGAAAAACTTGAAGTTACTTATACTAAAATAATAATAGAACTAAAAATGATAATAACAATAACTAATCTTAATAATAAAATATTGAGAAATTTAAATAAATCTGGAAAAATCTGAATAATCTAGATATTCTAGATAATTCAAATATTCTAGAAATATAATAAAATCATAATTACTTGTTTTCATATCTCATCATTTCTCCCTTGCTTAAAATTGGCTTTCGACAAGTTGACATTGATGCACAAATCTTAGAAGAGAGGAGAGGGGTAAAGAGCTCGACATAGTACTTTGATCTAGGAATCCCTTCCAATGAGTGAGGTACTGAAAGAGGAACCATTGGCAATAGTGAATAACTGGATCTTGGGTAATATCTGTAAGACATTTTCGACGTACAAGATACTGTTGGAGTGATTTGTTCAACGATGAGACAATTTTAGGAAGTCCAACTTTTAAACGAGATGGCACTATAGAACCATGAAATGGAATCTTGCTGGCCACAACCTGAGAAGAAACTGCTTGCAGTTGTGCCAATTGAACAATCTGATTAGTGTTTGAAGAAATTTTACCATTAACGATAATAAAATCAGGGGTCTCACTCAATTGAATTGCAGACATGTTCAATAGTGCCTGTTGAGTACTATGAATGGCCGCTACATGAGTTGTGGGCATCACTTCACTTGGCTTTACAGTATTTTCTTCTGTGTTTAATGAAGGAGCTTTGATCTCTATTGGTTTGGTTACTTAGAGAGCTTTTTCCACTTGATTATCTTAATTACTGATGAATTTCATAAGCTTATCAATTCCCTCATTAACTTGTTTTTCAAACTTATCAAGTGCATAGTCACATGATTGCTTCCAGTAGTCAAGTTTAGCTTCAAGTTGTTCTATTCGCACCTTGCAATTAAGTTGTTGCATGACATGCTCATAATGATAATGATATGTAAGATTGACATAGTATTGAGCAACATAATCATCATAATCAGCATAGTCATACTACACCCCGTTGGCATATCGATAGGGGTGAGTGGTGCATCTAGTACAATCATGATCAATATCCTTCACACATTTTTGTTTTGTCAACATATGTGACTTAATATTTTGTCCATATTTAAAACTTTTTATTAATATTTTTTATTGATTAGATCAACGATGGTACAGTTAAGGGATTAAAAAACATGTTATGAAATTAAACAATGAAACTAAAACATGATGTCATGTTAAAGAACAAAAACTACATTCTTATCTAATTATGGTTATTAGTATTAAAAATTCTAGAGATAATTAATCTGCAAATTTTTATAGTTTCAACCACTTTTAAGTTAGTTCTTTATAGTTTTTTTTATCAGGTCTTTATACTTTCATTTTTTTTATTACGTCCTTGTATTTATTTTTATTTTTATTAAGTCTTTATAATTTCACCTAATTTTTAATTAGGGCTTGAATTTTTTTGTTCTTTATTTTATAAATTGTAATAATATTTTTTATGTAAATATCAAATAGTATAAATTTAGAGCTGAGAAAACGAACCAAACTCGTCGGGAAGCCCCATTTAAGTTGAGGGTCAGGCTTGTAATTTGGGATTTTCAAAGGGAACTTGGTCTTAAAAGGGCCCACCCTGTAGGGTTCGAAAATAAAAAGGCCAGCCTTGTAGTGGCCGGCCCGTTTAAGCTCACCAACAATAATTTTTTAAAATTTTTTTTTTTGACCTCATCCTAAGTCCCTAACATTTTACACACTCTCCCTTTCTAAGTTTTACTTTTAGTTTTTTACTCACTCTTAGCTCACACCTCAATCTCTAATGATATTAAAATAAATAAAAATATATTCTCCATATCCTAAATTAGATCTCAAATTTGAATTTATTTGAACCAACAGTTATATATTAAAATAAACAAAATATATTCCCCATATCAAAACAAAAATTTTAATGATTGAACTAACAGATACGTATTTTGGTCCCAAAAAAAAAAACTAACAGATACGTATCAATTTGTATATATGTTATAAAATTTTAATAAACAAGTTAACACATTTCCATAGTAACTATGTCATAATTTTTATTGTATATTTAAATAGAGTTAAACAAGCGAGCTAGACAAAACTAAAAAAGACCATCGTGAACAAAAGTAAAAAAAAAGATGACATAGTTAGCTCATTAAAAGCATACTATGGATCAATCCAAAGTGCTAAGATACTTCAGACTTCCCATGAGATTGTGCAGCAAAGTGATTTTCATAATTAAAGCCTGAGAAATCATTGATATTTTTGAAAGTTAAGAAGAATCTATTACTAGTAAAGCACAATCAAATATTCGTACAGTTAATGATAGTGATGATAGTATTCGTTTACTTTTTGTTTTAGTGAAAACATTTGTCTACTTTTAATGGAACTTTTAGATGTTAATGTCATTGACTTGTTATGTCTAATAGATGTTTTAGATTTTTTGTATGTTGATTGGCATATAGATATGATGATCTTTTATATTTGTGACTTTTTTGTATGATCTTTTATTTTTTGATAAAACATATGAAAAATATGAAATTGAATTTTTTTTTAAATGGGCCGAAAGTCCATGAGTCGGCCCTGAGCCTATTTGCTTAAGGATTGGGCCTAGCAAATTAGGGTACTTTTAAAATTTTGGCCTTGTAGGGCTGGTCCTTTTAAACCTGCCAGTCTTGGAGGGCCGGGCAGGTCCTTTTTCCGAGCTCATATAATATGATTTAATATTAGTATATAATATATAATATTATAAACAATAATGTTCTTTGAATAATAAATTTTTATAATAATCTTATTTTAATGTTATTTTGAATGTTGAATTAAAAATATATTTATATAATTTATGATATAATTATAACTTTATTTATTTCTAATTATAAAATTCGGATGATAATAATTCAATTTTATAAAAAAAATAATTGCAATTAATTTATAACTATTTATTTGAATTAATTAATAATTAGTAATTAATTAGTTATATTACTTATTTTTCAATTATATAATTATTAATTTAAATTTATCATTAATATTGTACATTTCATACTGCACGTTTAATTAACTTTAAATTAAATTAATAAGTAAAATTTAAAAAAAAATACAAAGACATGATTAAAAATTAAGTGAAACTATAAGGACATAAAAAGAAAAACAATACAAAGATTTAATTTAAAACATGTGAAAATATAAGGATGCAATAAAAAGAAAGAAAACTATAAGAACCCATTCAACACTGGTTAAAACTATAAGGACTTTAAAATTAATTATATCAAAATTTTAAGTTAAAAATAAAAACATGATAAACATAACACAACTATTCTAAAATATCATAAATGAATCCTCATAATCATCTAAACACAAAATATTGGAAGTTGATACTTGAGTTGATGAAAAGTCGCCTTAGAGATACTGATTTCACCATATCAGCATCTTCATCTTCATTAGCTAGAATAAATAATGGACAAATTTTTTCATTTTCATT